CGGGCGCGGTGGCTTAAGCCTGTAATCCCAGCACTTTGGGAGGCTGAGGTGGGTGAATCAAGAGGTCAAGAGATCAAGACCATCCTGATCAACATAGTGAAACCCCATCTCTACTAAAAATACAAAAAATTAGCTGGGCATGGTGGTACGTGCCTGTAATCCCAGCTACTCAGGAGGCTGAGGCAGGAGAATTGCCTGAACCCAGGAGGCGGAGGTTGCGGTGAGCTGAGATCGTGCCATTGCACTCCAGCCTGGGTAACAAGAGTGAAACTCCGTCTCAAAAAAAAAAGAAAAAAAAAATCCATTGAGTTCCTCTCAATTGTAATGATTTCTCCTTTACTTCTAGAGTTTCTTTTTTTATAGTGTTCAGTTTTCTGTCAATGTTTTCCATATTGTGACTGTTTAACATATCAGCATAGATATTTAAAGACTGCGTAGGAACACGTTTGGTATCTGTATGTCCATTTTCTCTTTATGAGACCTGTGTGTGTGTCCCTATGCGTCTGTCTCTACTGTCTGCTACTTCCCTTGGTTTTCTATTTTGTTGGATTTTATCTTCGTGTTCCTAGCTATATTAATTGAATGCTGGCAATACTACCTGAAGAGCTCCAGACATAATATAAATCCTAGGATAATGTTATGTTCCTCAAGATATGATTTATATTTACTTTCGGTAGTTTCAGGTCGTTTTTGTTTGATCAGGGGTTGAGGTGATTCAAAGCTGGGCCTCAGCCTTTGATATTAGTTTATTTCTACTTAGTTGTATTACTTACAAAGCTTGTGGGGGTGTTTCCAGGAACCCCTTGTCCTAGCTGGGTCCTGATCTTCAGTTTTTGTCTCCTCAGTCACCTGAATGTGTCAAAAGCTCTGCTCAGTTTCCAAGTCCCACAGTCCCCTCTTCAGAAATGAGCAGGTGCGTTCGAACTAGGATTACAGCAGCCCTAAGTGTCAGGTTCACCTTCCTGGGTTTCTTTTTCTCCCAGATCTTGCCCCCCTAATTTTTAACTATTTTTTTAGCTGTCTGATGCATTTAAATGAATTTTAAAAATATATTTTGTCCAAGTTTCTTAGTTATTCAGCATGGGAGTCAGGTCTGAATTACCTATTGCACCATTATCAGAAGCACCACCCCCGTCTCAACTAAGGAATTTATTACCTTAAATCCAGCCGGCACATTTAGAAGTCTCTGGAACAGAGAATTCACATGATTAAAGTGGTATTTTAGGGAGATGACTGTGTCAGTGGAGCGCAAGACAGAGAGAAATTTGGGAAGTCTCAGTGAGTAGAACAATTAAGAGGTCATCATAACTCATAAGCCTGGGCTTTTCATGTTAGATAGGCCTGAACTCAAATGAGAGTTTTGGGTCTGCACTTACTAGCAGGTAATAAAGGATAATAAAGTCCCTAGATCCTAGGGTTATAAGAGTTAAAGACAAAACTTGTAGAAAACCCGAGGTTTTTTATTTTTTTATTTTTAGAGAGGGGATCTCTTTCTGCCACCCAGGCTGGAGTGCAGTGGTGTGATCATAGCTCACTGCAGTCTCGAACTCCTGGGCTCAATTGATTCTCCCACCTCAGCCTCCCAAGTAGCTGTAACTACAGGTGTGTACCACCACACCTAGCAAGAAAACCCTAGTTTTAATGCCTGGCATATAGTAAGTGCTCTGTTAATGGTACCCATTGCTGTTACTATTCCAAGAACCAAAATGCAGTTATTTAGGTGAAAATTCAACCTTACTGTCCATAGCACCAATCATGGCCAGATTACTGTCAACTTCATGGGGGATCATTCATGTCTTGTGAATCACGATGAATAGCTTGCATGCCTTTATATAGCAGGCTTGGCACCAGTAGGGGTGTTTCAGTAACCACTGTAAGGTGAATTGACTTATAGCCAGATGCCACGTTTTTGAAGCCAGTCCCAACCTCAAATCTCAAAGGTGTAATGACAGGGGATTTTACAAAGTGCCTTTTGTCAGGCTGCAGGGTAGATGGTTCGACACTTTTACTTACTTTGAAGTACAGGTTGCTCGTATATTAGGTTTGTAGAACCATAAACAAGCCGATGTATAAGAAAAGAAGCTTACAAAAAAGATGACAATTCATCCTATCATGGATAACTGCAGAAATCATCAGTTTAAAATGTCCCATTTTTCTCTTCTTTTCTTTCTTTCTTTCTTTCTTTCTTTTTTTCTTTCTTTCTTTCTTTCTTTCTTTCTTTCTTTCTTTCTTTCTTTCTTTCTTTCTTTTTAATGAGATGGAGTCTTGCTCTGTTGCCAGGCTGGAGTGCAGTGGCATGATCTCGGCTCACTGCAGCTTCCGCCTCCCGGGTTCAAGTGATTCTCCTGTCTCAGCCTCCTGAATAGCTGGGACTACAGGCATGTGCCACCATGCCCGGCTAATTTTTATACCTGGTTTCATCATGTTGGCCAGGATGGTCTCGATCTCTTGACATCGTGATCTGCCTGCGTCGGCCTCCTAAAGTACTAGGATTACAGGCGTGAGCCACCACACATGGCCTAAAATGTCCCATTTTTCTAGATGTTCAAAGTGTAGACCAGAAAGATGGAGTGATTGGCCCCAGGACACACACCAGCAATGGCAGAGTCAGGGCTGCGACCCAGCTGTCCTGATTTCTGTGCATTTTGGTTCTCTTATATGCACAGTCAGTCTCTGTGTCATGCAGTCAGTTACCTGCCTTCTCTAACTCTATTCTGGGTTCACGTGGCCTGGCTGTTAGTGCCTGTGGGAGGCTTGCCTTGCAGAAAGCCCAGCGTGTCACCTTGACTTTCAGTAATGGAAGCTAGATGACACGTACCGAGTAAGCATCTTTCTTTCAGTCCTCAGTCCTCTGACCCTGTGTGCCCGTCATCTGTCTTTTAATCTCTGGAAACATAATGAATCTATTTTTACTGGCCGACTAAATGATCCATTTCTGGTGCTAGGCTTGAGGTAGATTCTGCCTTTGCTGTTTTTCGAAGCAGTAAAAATGTATTCTCACCCTCTGGTAGCCATGAGCAATCTATGTCAAATGGCAAACTTTTTGTACTGTGCCGCGTGGCAAGCTCACTGCTAATCCACTACCTGCCCAGGCTTTGGGAGACGGGTTGCCGAGAAACATCAAGTTACGGAGAGGGGCCTTCTTATGACTGCATGAGCTTTTCATTGAGTCTCACAGGAGATGTCCTAGCTACAAACAAAACCCAAACCGACAAAACCTGAAATAAGTATAGCCCTTTTTACGGTTTTTTGTTTGTTTGTTTGTTTCTCTGATAAAATACTTGTTCGAGTTTTTACTTCTTCTGAAAGTTGACTTACAATTAATAACAGTCCTATTTAGGATGATGAGCTTTTCTAAAAAGTTTGAGGTCTGGCGGAGCCGCCTCCTTACCGGATGGGCACAGTGCATAAGCGAGGAATGGACCCAGCCGGCGAGCCTGGCAACGCGGACCAACAGACGAGTCTATTGGAGTGGCCAAAATGAGCAGACTGCAGGAGCGTGGGAGAGCCGGGAGACTGAGCGTCGAAGATAAGGGGACTCTAGAGCTTTGCTTCTCAGAGTGTGACCCAAGGACCAAGGGGCTTGTCAGAGACGCAGACCGCAGGGGTCGCCTAGAACCCACGGACTTGGGATTCCCATGTGCATTCAAGTTGGTGGAGGGCTGGTCTGGATTTCACAGTCAGCTCTTGCCTTTACTATTGGCCAAACTGACCATGTCGTTCTCTTGCTAAAATCCTTCGGTTTCCTCTTTAGTCTTGGGTTATGGTCATGACCGAAATCCTAGGCATGGTCTTCTGGGTCAGCCGGGTCTCTGGGCCCTCCCTGTCACTGACTGCCTCCACAGGGGCCACCTTGCCTTGGGGACTTTGCAGCTCTCCCTTCTCTGCTAGCTGCTCAGAGCTGCCATAACAAGTGGCTTTAACACAACAGAAATTTATCCCATCACAATTCTGGAGGCCAGAAGTGTCAAATCGAGGCACCGGCGGCACTCTGCTCTGCCTCAGGGCTCTTGGGGAGAATAATCTGTCCTTGTCTCTTCCAGCTTCTGGTGGCTCCAGGCATGGTCAGCTGCAGCAGCCTCACTGCAGTCTCTTGCCCCTGGCTTCTCGTGCCCATCCTCCCTGTGTGTCTGTGTCTTCACGTGGCAGCATTCTGTGTGTGTCCCTGCCCACACTTCGCTCCTTATAAGGACATTGCGTTCCTGTGAGCTTCTGGTCACAACATTTTTGTCAACTGATCATTGTATATCCTTGTCTTATGTGTTTCTGTTTAAAGACACCCTCCGTATATTTCTTGTTGATTAATTAGCATTGAACTCACAGCACTATAATGCCCGCCTGAGCAAAGCTTATCTGATAAACGTGTTTTCCCTGTAAGACACATCACCACCTTCTGGTTCTTAGGAACCCGGGAAGGCACTTTGGTACAATGCCTGGGGGCCATTTGAAACAGCAGAGTCACCAACAAAAAGCACAACGATGTGAAGAAAAGTGTCACACTCTGTAGACCAGGCGCGGGCCGCATGTGGCCCCCTGAGGCTATTTATCCGGCCCCCCACTGCACTTCAGGAAGGGGCACCTCTTTCATTGGTGGTCAGTGAGAGGAGCACAGTATGTGGCGGCCCTCCAACGGTCTGAGGGACAGTGAACTGGCCCCCTGTGTAAAAAGTTTGAGGACGCCTGCTGTAGACTGTGAAAAGGACACTTATTTGCCATAGGAGAGCAAGAGCGGGAAGGCAGAGTGTGGCCCTGTTCAGCCCCAGCTGGGAGCGCGTGCATCAGAAGACTTGAATTCGGCACACGTCTGAGTGACCACAGACGCATCTGTGTATTGACTTGGGGGTTATGGGCATATTTTAGCGAGTAAGCAAATTCACAGATACAGAATCTGCGCACTGTGTGGATGGAACGCGTCTTCCCACACAGGCTTTAGTTTTCAAGACAGAAAGTTGGGTTCTCGTCTTGGTGCTTTGCTTTCCCTAACAATGGACTTTTCCAACTACTGTTTCAGTTTAAAGTTGATCTTCATTCTCTTTCAGAGTGATTCCCATCTGTGTGAACTTGAAAAGCCGTCACATAAGAACAGGGACCACTGTGGGCTGGTGGAGGGGCACCTGACAGGAACCATACCATATGGCTTTTTGAACTGTTTTAGGGGCGACCATTTTTTTTTTCCAACTGGTTTATTTGTGAGAAAGGTAATGGAGGAGATACGATATTATTTTGAGTACTAGCTGGAAGCAGGGCCCTTACACATGTGTCTCGCGTTTCCATATTGCTCGACTCAGGCTTAGCTGCAGTGCTAGGGACCACGCACAGCGGTTCTGAGTGTCAGGCGGTTCGGAGAACTGGCATCTGTCTCTTGCGGGGCAAGGCTTTGTGGGGTCACCAGTGCACTCCTCTGTGCGCAGCTTTCCTTGGTGCTCCCCAGACTCTTCCGAAACTCTTTTTTTGTTGTTTTTGAGATGGAGTCTCGCTCTGTTTTCCAGGCTGTAGTGCAGTGGCATGATCTCGGCTCACTGCAACCTCTGCCTCCTGGGTTCAAGCAACTTTCTGCCTCAGCCTCCCAAGTAACTGGGATTACAGGCACCTGCCACCATGCCTGGCTAACTTTTTGAATTTTTAGTAGATACGGAGTTTCACCATCTTGTCCAGGCTGGTCTTGAACTCCTGACCTCGTGATGCACCTGCCTCGACTCCCAAAGTTTTGGGATTACAGGCATGAGCCACTGCGCCCAGCCCGGAAACTCTTTATCATCTTGTACCCAGGACTTTTCATGGGGCATGGTAATTCCTTTCTTTCCAGTGTCCTGTTAGATTGGGAGTTCCGGCAGGGAATGTCATCTTTCCCTGTTCCTGGAGCATCATTCTCAATCTGTGATCTTTGAATGGGTGGATGAACGAATGAATGGATGAGACCAAGAGCAGCAGTCTCTGCAACTCCTTGCAGCCATTCCACGTCCTTTTGAAATAGCTCGAAGGTTCCTGTTTCTGTCTCAAAGAATGGTGGCGGGAGCCTCCATATGAGTGGATGAGGCCAGCCTCTGATGGCACCCCACCTAGGTGATCTTCAGAGCTGGCCTGGGCCTTGTAGCCAGTGTTTCCTATGTGGAAGGCAACATTTGGACTTTATGTGACTAGCAGAAGAGCTAGAAAGAGGGCAGAGCGTGGGAGCTCACGTCTGTAATCTCAGCAATTTGGGAGGCCGAGGTAGGAGGATTGCTTGAGCCCAGGAGTTTGAGACCAGCCTGGGGAACATAGGGAGACCCCATGTCTGCAAAAATTTTAAAACATTAGCTGGGCGTGATGGCTCACACCTGTAGTCCCAGCTACTCGGGAGGCTGAGGTGGGAAAATAGCTTGAGCCCAGGAGGTTGAGGCTGCAGTGAGCCATGATCATGCCACTGCACTCCCATCTGGGTGACAGAGTGAGACCCTGCCTCCAAAAACAAGGTGACGCTCTTCCTCCAGTAGAACTTCAATTTGGTTAGAAAGAGAGAGTGGAGTGTACACTGCTGAGAAGCGTATAGGTAAAAAAGGGGATAAGATGGAAAACCCAACTGCCCTAAAGCAATGTTTGATTTTTCAGAGGAGCAGTACAAATGAGTGAGTGTCAGGAGCTAGAGGTGGAGGGACTGCTTTACGTGGGAATGGTCTGGGAAGCCCTTGTGGAGGAGGAGGAGGCTGGGTCTTAGAGGACCGGCAAGGCCAGGGAATGAAGAGCAGAGGGCATGGGATGAGCACGGAGCGGGAGGTGTCTGCAGCAGCCAGTGGGCCCCGGAGGCCTGCAAGGAGAAAAGGCTGGGGGCTCCTGCAGGCGCAGGGTGAGGCCCAGTGGGTCATGAAAGGATGCTTGTACACTGGCATGTTCTGGGCGCAGGGAATAGAGGAGAGAGGAAGTCCATGGCAAGCTGGAAAGGGGAGTTATTGAGACATCAGCCCAAATTCCAGTGAAGAGAATTTTCAGAGCACAGTTTTGGAGGAAATGAACTAAAGAAGGAAGGGACAAATCAAGATTGAAAGAGGATTACAGTGCCACGCTGTCTGTGAGGTCTTAGAGAATGGAGGTGGGCCGGGCATGGTGGCTCATGCCTGTAATCCCAGCACTTTGGGAGGCCGAGGCAGGTGGATCATCTGAGACCAGCCTGGCCAATATGGTGAAACCCCATCTCTACTAAAAATACAAAAAATTAGCAGGGCGTGGTGGTGGACATCTGTAATCCCAGCTACTCAGCAGGCTGAGGCAGGAGAATCGCTTGAACCTGGGAGGCGGAGGTTGCAGTGACCCAAGATCACACCACTGCGCTCCAGCCTGGGCAACAAGAGCGAAACTCCGTTTCAAAAAATTAAAAAAAAAAAAAAAAAAAAAATGGAGGCCTGTATCCACACCATTTTTGCTTTTGGACCCCAGATTAGATGTAAATGCAGGCACAGACAGGGTGAAGATGAGTGAGGGACAGTGTGGAAGGTACTTTGTGACTGACTCCCCTCTGGGTCTGTTCTGATTGACAAGGGGAAGTCTGTCTTAGGAATCTGGAAGCCACTGGGGGCATTGTGTGGACTGAAGAGGAAGGGTGGTCTGACCATGAAAACGACTTTCAAAGGGAAAGTCAGTTAAAGGAAAAGCGTCAGAGGGGAGGCTGGCATTGAGAAAGATATTTGAGTGAAAGATTGTACTCGGGTGAAAGCAAAAGTAAAGAGACCCGTGCAGGGCGTGGGGGAGCTCTGGAAGGAAAGTCGGGAGGGACGGGTAGCTGGTGGAAAACGTTGGGAATGCCAAATGAACGGATTCCTTTAGCTTCAATGTTAACGTGGGGGTTGGAAGCGTTGGTAGAACCGAGATTCTCAGGATGAATGGCTTGGCTATCATAACACTTTCCCACAGCTGCTTTTCTGCCCACTCCGAGGCTATTGGAAGAAGAATCCCCAAAGGCATTGTAAACACTGGGCCTCTGAGCAACCGATGCCTCAAAACAGGCCAGGGTAGGGGGGGACGAAGCCTCGCTCTAGGCAAAGTCCGGGGAAGGAGTGAGGGTCCTGGCCTCCAGTGTTCACAGGACCCTCCCAGCGGAGGGCAGGCCTGGACCGCCCTGTGTCCCCAGATTGCCCCCTGGCCAGTGCCAGGGCTGGGCTTGCACAGGTGGCTCTAGGGCACAGCCCCTGAGTACACACCCCACCAACCCCGAGTCTCCAGCCCCAGGACGGGAGAGAAAGAAAGGGTCAGGCGGGTGTAGAACTCTGCAGCGCAGACACCGCAGTGAGCGGCACCGACGCGACGCCTGACGCTGTGTTTCTCTCCCGCAAGGGCACCATGCCGGTGGAAAGGATGCGCATGCGCCCGTGGCTGGAGGAGCAGATAAACTCCAACACGATCCCGGGGCTCAAGTGGCTTAACAAGGTGAGTGCACCAGGGTGGGTGTATGTGTGAGAGAGGCCCTGGCGGAAACAGGCCCACGCGGACTGCCACAAGCAAAACTGTGCTCAAAGTCTTAGGCTCATTCATGATAAAAATCAGCCAACCCCACGTGATCATAAAACATCAAGTTATCATCTGAAAGACTTTTTTTCCTTTTAGAGGCAGGGTCTCACTCTGTTGCCCAAGCTCGAGTGCAGTGGTGCAATCGTGACCCTCTGCAGCCTCCACCTCTTGGGTTCAAGTGGTCCTCCCACCCCAGACTCCAGAGTGACTGGAACTACAGGTACACATGCCACCATGCCTGCTAAGTTTTGTGTGTGTTTTTTTTTTTTTTTTTTTTTGAGACGGAGTTTCGCTCTTGTTACCCAGGCTGGAGTGCAATGGCGCGATCTCGGCTCACCGCAACCTCCGCCTCCTGGGTTCAGGCAATTCTCCTGCCTCAGCCTCCTGAGTAGCTGGGATTACAGGTACGCGCCACCATGCCCAGCTAGTTTTTTGTATTTTTAGTAGAGACGGGGTTTCACCATGTTGACCAGGATGGTCTCGATCTCTCGACCTCGTGATCCACCCGCCTCGGCCTCCCAAAGTGCTGGGATTACAGGCTTGAGCCACCGCGAGTTTTGTGTTTTTAAAATAGAGCCGGGGTCTCACCATGTTGCCCAGGCTGGCCTTGAACGCCTGGGGTGAAGTGATCCTCCCACCTCTGCCTCCCAAAGTGTGAGGATTACAGGCGTGAGCCGCTGAACCTGGTCTCCAAAGCATTGGCATCCTCTGGGACTGTAGCAGCAGCCTGGAGCCTCCAGTGACGGCTCACCTTTGGTGTTTTGGCCGACTGCCTGTGGAAAGCTCTGCCTTCTCCAGACTCCTTTTTTTGCTTCTCCCCACCGTTTAGGACCAGAGGACATGGAAACTCCGGAGTTTTATATTGGGAGTGGAGCATTTTCATTTCAGTGTTCTCTATTTAAAGAAAGCTTGTTTTTGTCTTTTACAAAAGCTTCCTTTTTACCTCTGTAATGAAGGCCTATCCGTGTGCCCACCTGTCCTGAGAAAGCAGATAATCATTTACAGCCTACCCCTCCATGCATAAACACTCCCTTACTTTGTTAACTGAAAAACTCTTAATTTACTCGATCCTAGCTATTAGGGGTGAATCAGAAGGAGTTAATGTAGGTAAAAATGAAAACCTTCTAGAACTATATAATCTAGAAAAGCAACTGAATATATATATCATGACTTCTTTAAGGAGGCCCAGGAGAGAAGTTTCTCTTCTACCAGGAACAGTTCTGAGTAAATGCCTTTTTCCTCTTTCCCTACTCCCTCCTCTTTTCTTTTTGAATCTTAAGGACACAATGAATAATTTAGCTGGCTAGGCTCTATCTTTGTATCAGGTGCAAGAGCTTAGAGCCAGATTGCAGATTGGAGCTGCTTCCAACAAGTGAACAGGACAGTGCACTATAATTTACTAATATCACTCCTGGCCTTATTGGGTCTTTTCAGATATCTTTTAAATCTTATTTTTTGATTATTTTCCTTTTATCCACTTATTTTGATTTTTTTTTTTTTTTTTTTTTTTTGAGACAAGGTCTCCCTCTGTCACCCAGGCTGGAGTGCAGTGGCGTGATCTCAGCTCACTGTAACCTCTGGCTTAAGCATCCTCCCACCTTTGCCTC